ATGTTAAAAAGTGTTTTTCCTACTGAATCAATACTGGGCAGATGGATGGGTAATAGGAACAAAGAAACTTTCTTGTTACATACAACATACTGCAGTTTCTATTGGATCTCTAGTCATTGTTTATTGATTGTCATTTCTATTACAAAAGGAATATCAACTTTGTTAATTAAAGTGAAAGAATTACACATTTGTATAATGGGAAAGGGAATTGCTGGCTTGCTGTTCTGGACATGATGAGGTAGGAAACTTTGTGCTTATTCCTTCTGCTCAGTATCACTAAAAATCCTGAACATATTATAAAGACCAACAAAAGAGATTGTGAAGGATGCAGAGAAGACATCGATCTGATCTGAGGCCTTAGTATTCAAGGAATTATACTGCAGTGAGTTGTTTGGGTTTTCATGTTGCCGTGAACTGGGCACTGAAGAAGACTGAAACCAGAAATGAGATCAAGTTCAAGTCCCAAGAATTGCCTGCTGTCTTTAGCCAAAAGCTCAGGAAAGGAGTTTTCTAGCAAGACAGATTTTTTTTTTTAAACAATACTTGAATTACTCCTGAAGAAACTCCTAGAAGGAACCTTGACCAGCCCTCTCCCCATGTTGATCAGAGGTCAAAGGTGGAGCCTTGACTTCCAGCCACAGTCAGGGAACAAGACACCTCAGTGCTTTCTACGGTGTCAGTGGAGGCCAAATGGGAAGCCTGGACTTGCACTCTGCAGTAATGGAGGCCTGATAAATAAGAGATTTCAATAAAATCCAGAGTCTTAAAATACAACACCCAAAATTCTAAAATACAATTGAAAACCACTCATCATAGCAAGGACCTGGAAACACTTCAGAAGAGAAAAGATAATCAACAGACCACAACACTGAGATGGCACAGCATTTGATGATGGTTTTCAAAAGTCTAGCGGGAATAATAGAACTGAAAAATATAATAGTGGAATCAAAAAAAACCTCACTGGATGGACTCAATTATGGATTACGGATGACAGAAGGCTAAATAAACTTGACTATAGAATATAAATGACTCATTTTGAAAATAGATTGAAAACAAAACCAAAAAAAATTTCAAAAATACAGACTGAAAATTTCCCAAATTTTTACAAGCCATAAACATTCATATTGAAAAAGCCAAATAGGACAAACCCCCCAAAAAATCATGCCAACATACACCATAATTAAACTGAGGAAAAGTAAAGGAAAAGAAAAAAATCTCAAAAGCAGCTACATAGAAACTATGCAAACTAATAAGGGAGAAAGGATTCAAATGTCAGTGGGGTCCTCATCTGTGACCTTCAAAGCAGAAAGAAGTGACAACATTTTTCAAGTGCTAGAAGACAAGAACTGTCAGCCCTGAATGCTAAATCTGTCATTGTATCCATTGGGGTTTAAGGGAGAGAAGAAGATATTCTGAGACAAAGGGAAACAGAGCATTTATTTCCAGCAAATCTGTCTTTAAAGAATTGCTAAAGGAATTCTTCAGATATCAGGAAAAATATAACAGAGCAAGGATTGAGAAAAAACTAAGGAAGAAAAAACAACAGACTGAAAAAATAAGGGTAAATATGATGGACTTTCTTTTTCCTAAGGAGTTTGTTAGGTTTGGTGTTTGTGCGACATTATATCATTTGATATGGTGCTCCATACATGTAGAAGAAATACTTCAGACACTTATGTTTGAACTGTGGGGAACGTACGGGTGCCTGGGAGACTCAGTCAGTTGGTTAAGTGTCCACTCTTGACTTTAGCTCAGGTCATGATGTCAGGGTTGTGAAATTGAGCCCTGTGTCAGGCTCCAAGCTGGGCGTGGAGTCTGCTGAAGATTTTCTCTCTCCTCCCTATACCACTCCAATCCCTTTCTCTCTCTCTTTCTCTCCCAATAAATTAAAAATAAAATAAAATAAAATAAATAAAATAAAATAAAATGTGGGGAGGGTGAATGGACTTAAATGGAAGTATGGTTTCCTCATTTCACCTGAAGTGATAAAATGTCAAAACCAGGGGGAGAAGTGACAAGCTATATATGTGCATCTTAATACCTTGCGCAACCATGGATAAAACTATACAAAGAGATATGCTCCAGAATAACAAAAGCATATTAAAATAAAATTATTTTAAATGTTCCAAAAATCCACAGGGATGGCAAGAAAAAAAAAAAAAAGAAATGGGAGTGAGAAACAGAGGAAAGAAACTCAAGGCAAATAACAAAATGGCTGACACAGCCCCTAATCTATTGATAATTACTTTAAGTGTAAATGGCTTAAATTCTTCAGTTAAAAGACTAAAAGTGGCAGAGTGGACATGCAAACAAGAGCCGACTATATGACAACTAAAAAAAACTAACTTCAACGTGAAAACACAAGTGGGCTCAAAGTAAAAGACTGGAAAGTATATATGCCAGGCAAAATTTGATTTGAAAAACAAGCAGCTATAATATCTCCTCCTATAATATTTCCTAAACTCTAAATACTTGAGTGTCCTATGACCAAGTTCTCAGAGTTTTTTTCTATATGTACAAATTCTCTGGTTGAGCTCAGCTAGAAACCTACCCTTTTATAGTCCACATGCTGAAGAAGCCCAAATTCATATCACATTCCATGATCATGCCCCAGCTGCTGATTGATTGTGTGTCTCAAAGTGAAGTAGCCCCCACCCCTAAATTATGTTTAGTACATTTATTCCTCAGGAAATAACTGAGCTTCTTAACACTTAAGATAGAGAATTTTCTGGGCGCCTGAGTGGCTCAGTTGATTAAACGTCTGACTCTTGATTTCTGCTCTGGTCATGTTCTTAGGGTCATAAGATCCAGTGTTGGGCTCCATGCTCAGGGTGGCATCTGCTAAAGATTCTCTCTCTCCCTCCCCTCTGCTCTTCCCCTCACTGCTTACACTCATGTGCTCTCTCTCTAAAAAAAAAGAGAGAGAGAAAATTTTCCATGATTCCAACAGTCCTAATGTGGCCAAATATTTCATAAAATAAATATATATTATCACTATGCAGTCAACAAAAAGAAAAAATTGGATTTTAAGCACCATCATTTTATTTGGGATTAAAAATAAGAGTCCATAAGAACTATGTCACTATATTTATTTATATTGACATATTTAGTCCCTAAAATATTCTCTAAAACCCAAGGTGAAATAAGATACTTTACCTGCACACTGAGGTGGCCGTGACCAATTCCCATTGAAACATGTCACTTCTACTTCCCCAAACAGTTCAAAAGGTTTGATGCATTTATAACGTGCAGTCTCATCAGGTAGATACCTAGCCTTCTCATTTAGTATAATAGCATTTTCCACTTTGGGTGGATTCTCACAGGAAATATCTGAATAGAAAGAAAAAAATAGCATCTCTAACGTAATGATCATTTTGAGTAGCAAATCAATGAATGGGATAAGGGAGATTTAAAATCAATAGTTAATCTGTCATGAAAGAGTACCAATTTAGGAAATTTACATATAAGATTGAAGAAAAGGAGAAAATATCTTTTGATAAGATTTAAACTCCTATGAAAATGAGAATTTTTCTGGACATTTCCCATTTTTAGTAAAATCAATATTACAAACTATATAAATTCAATATGAATTTGTAAACCACAGGAAAATAATAATAAACAAATCATTTGATGTTAAATTTTGGCTTGCAATCATCCTGTTTAGGAATGTGATTTTAGGCCCTTAGAAAAATAAAGACGGTAGGCACTTCCTTAGACAATAAATGAAGAATTAACACACTTTAAAGATTATTAGAGTTGAAGGGAGAAGATGATTAACTAAGGATCCAAACAGGAGATGAGGAAAAGAACAGAAAAATACATGTTTAATTTCTAAAAACACTCTTCAATTATTATTATTATTATTATTATTATTATTATTTTGCCAATGCTTAAGGACATTTCAATAAGAATTCAAAGTGTAATTCACTAGTGAGATTCAGGTGGGTGTAAAGAACAACAGGCCACAGCTATGGTTCCTAAACTGGAGCACACATTGAATCCCTTGGGAATTGTTGAGACACTTACAGGGTTGCAGCCCCAGAGTTTTTGACACGACAGGTCTGAGCGAGCCAGTGAATTACGTTGCATTTCTAACGATTGTCCAGAAGATGCTGATGGGGCTATTGCAGGGACCATAGTTTGAGAACCACTGGGCTCTGACTAACCAATGAGTACACAGTTTCATTCCTTTATGTTAAAGCATAAACCTTCTTTGACCTGGCCTCAAACAATAATCTATGTCCATTGTTTAAATGACGTTAGAGGGAATTGTATCTTATATTTCTTAAGACATTTTGATAAATAGATTCTAAAATTTTATCAAAGTACCTTTGCATGTTGGCTTTCCTATCCATTGGCTTTTAATACACTGTATAAAATTGGGTCCATCCAATTGGTAATTATTTGGACACATATAAGTCACTTTTTCTTCTGACCTATATGAGTCCTTCTTCGGGCCTATGGGTATGGCAATATCAAAGTCAGGTAGGCCAAAACAATCCGTTTCTGAAAGAAAAGAACATGTACTTCTTTGGCAAATCGTTTAAAATACATAATGACCAATAACTAGAATGTAGAATAATAAGTACACGTCAAACCAATGGGCACTATACATAATTTTTATAAGTTGAAAAATTGTGTTAGAAGTCTTTTGTCTTAATTATATTGAATTGCCCTATGTTTATCAAAAGTAAAATATGGGGACGATGATATGGGAAGTCTGAAAAGGTAGAGATACATGTAATGCTTGATATCACATTTCTTACACTGAAATTCTTTTTTGCTCATATGAGCCATCTACATTATGAATGTATTTGTATCTTTGGTTTCTGTCAAAATCTGTTACTTTTAATTATATCAAATATCTTAGAAAAGTATACTTCTAAGGAGATAACTGATAAACTAACAGTAAATTGAATAATGATGAGCTTGGGGGTGCCTGGGTGGCTCAGTGGGTTAAGCCGCTGCCTTCGGCTCAGGTCATGATCTCGGAGTCCTGGGATCGAGCCCCGCATCGGGCTCTCTGCTCAGCAGGGAGCCTGCTTCCTCCTCTCTCTCTGCCTGCCTCTCTGCCTGCTTGTGATCTCTCTATCAAAAAAAAAAAAAAAAAAAAAAATCTTAAAAAAAAAAAATAATGATGAGCTTGCTGAGCAGGGACCAGCTGTGATCCAGGCACAGAGAGGAGGATTCTGTGGATATGTATCAGTGGATGTTGAATGTGCACATGAAGTGACGTGAAAGTGAAATAATTTGGGCTCATGCTGTCACATTTTTATTATTAGTAGGGTTATTAATTCTCTACCAGACTCCACAACTTTCTAGAGATACCTTGTTAAATTCTAGAATTACTGCCTGGTTTCATATTTGTACCATTTATGCTCTGAATTAAGAATATTGATCAACTTTAGAGTAAAATTAAATACACTGTACTTATGCATTCTGGTGGATGAGACCATTTTCCTCCTAAACACTTTATAGATGCAGATCCATTAGTCCCAAAACCTCCTTCACATTCGTAGACTATTTCTTCTCCATACTGAAAAGTGCCTGCTTTGTGAAGAGGAAGACTATGTGGAACCACATATTCTGGTGGT